GAAAAAAGCTTGTCAGAGCAGTTGCCATAAAAATATTTATAGAAAAGACAGAGGGAAGCCACACTGCGTCAGTGAGAAAGTGACTGAAGTCGAGATGCTAGGTCAGGATCAGTTATATTGCAGATCCTTCTTTGGATTTTGTAAAGAATCTCGCGATGGGTACTAGAAGTACCAGATCAGATATGGCAACAGTATTCAGTGCATGGACGAATGGTAGATTTGTAAATGTACAAGATGGCCTCTAACGAGAAAAACCTTCTGGCAACAAACCAATTTTTCTTCCTTCGCTGTTTATTATCGTTTCACCTCAAGTCTGTTGAAAACATGAGGCCAAAAGGCGCAGTGTGCCATTTTCCCGGAGTCGAGCATCAACCATGCTGATGGCAGGCAGGAAAGTTTCTCTATGTTGGTTAAATGAGACCAGTTTTGTGTGGCCGGCACAGTTTAGTAGCTTCAATTCATTTTTTAAAATCCTTTCACCCCCAAGCAAGGCGGGAATTTTACTAGTAGGAATGGGTTACAGGGAGTTACATGGAGTGAAAGTGTAAGAGAAAACTGAGTATAGGGAGGATTGAGGAAAGGACAAACGATGAACAGGATTCAAGAAGATAGAAAATGACGTTGCATTTAAATTTTTGAAGATTGATGAGAAACAAATAAACAGAAGATGGGAAGGGCGAGAAAAGAAACGGTTGGAGTAAAAATTGTGACTGCTATTTCAACAGTAAAAGGGTGGGACTTAGATGCCAATCTAACAGCACGTTTAAATTCATGTAGTCGGAGCATCTGAGAAAACAGCTCGTTAGAGCAGTTGCCATGAAAATATCTGTAGAAAAGACAGAGGGAAGCCACGTCACGTCGTTGAGAAATTGACTGTCGAAATGACTGGTTACAATCGATTTCATCATAAACCTTTGGAATTTTTGAATAGATTGTTTAATCTCTGACATCCTCTGATGACTACTTTGGTATCTTTTAGGGTTTATGCCTACTATATATCGGGTCACCACAGATCAACTTCTTAGAACAAATATTCTTTTTAATATTAAAATCGATTAAGATCATCTGGCACTTTCTGGCATGAATAACATACTAAACTGAACATGGGCAACCTTTCTCGAGGAGCATCACAAGGCGGGTCGCACCACTAAAATGATTCAAGGTAATTTTTCATTAAACGTACCTCAGCAATTTTCACTACAGAAGTCCATATACGTAAGCATATACCTTGAAAATTGTAGGAAAGTTTTGTTTTTAAAAAAATATTTTTTATAATTAAAAAAAGTGAATTCTTGGTCTAATATTATCTCTGACTCTGATTAACACATGTCATTGCGAGGGATTTATTTCTAACTAGCAGTAGAGCCCGGCGTTGCCCGGGGATGTAACAGTAAGAGATAGATCAAGTATCGACCATCATAAAGACTGAAAAAATAAAATTGACAAAGATTATTGTTTAAGGTTGATGGCCACGCATGTCTTAATTAGTTTGTTTTTTTTACGAATTGGTCAAACCCAAACTCAAACAAAAACATTGTTTTCAATCGTTATGAGTCTACCGATTGAATAGAATTTTATTATAAACAATTGTCTTGTAAATGGAATTTTTAAAGCATTCTGAATATAAAAATAAAGAAAAAAGTGTGCAAGACAATAAGAAACACTACCTGCAAAAAAAGGGAAGTTTTGTTGAAATCGACTGAAAAATGTAGGAAATCCGATCCCATATATAAACGAACACACACACACAACCAACCAACCTGGGTTTTATAATAAGTATAACTCGATATTAATAAGTATAACTCGATATGAGTTGTCCCCCTTTCATTAATGCCTCTTAATCGTGTTTTCAAATTGATTTCGTGCAAAAACAATTGTGTTTTTCCAATTTTTGGCGCTGTTAGAACCACCGTAAGGTAATTTTACATAGTCCTGTGAAGTTTTGTTGAAATCGGTTGAAAAATGTAGAAAATCCGATCCAATATATAAACGTACACACACACACACACACACACACACACACACACACACACACACACACACACACACACACACACACAATCTGCGTTTTATAATAAGTAAGATTTATTCATTTGAAAATGTGCACATTTCTTCTTCAGAGAAACAATTCTTATGAACGTTTCCTGTTTCAAAAGCAAAAGGTGTTTATACGTATGGTCTTCCTTAGTGAAAATAGCTAATGGTTTAAAATGCTGAAAACGTTAATTTCCCCCCAATTTTACAAAATTCAAGACACCTTTTTCATGTAAGTGGTTATGTATGAGAGATTGTGTGAGTGAACAAGTGAGGACGAAACTAAATTAGATTTTAAGAAACCTTATTTTCCTTACAAAATTAAGCGGACCATTCAGAAAGACCGAACTGGTCGCATGTGGCTCTTGGGCCGCACTTTGCTCATGACTGAGATGTATTTGGGGGGGGGGACTAAGAGAGGTTCCACATATAATTTTCACTATAAAAGAAAAAGAAAGGAACATCATAAAATAAATGAATTTTGGCCAATCTAAAAAACAAGAGATTTTTGATGATAGCCGAAAACGACCTTCGCGCCAGGTATTCTGGAGCCTTTCTTAAATGTATATAAAAAGACCGCCGACAGACAGCAGCAGAGAGAAGGGACCACCAGAGAAACCAACCAAGCGTGAAGTAGCTAAGCGGTCATCTGCTTGAGATATTTTTCCACCCTTTTGAGGGCCGAGAATATACCGCAGATTGGCGTCCACAACATTTTCCCAGAGAAACCACACTCCAGACAACTACCAAAGTCTGACTCGTAAATTATCAACTAACCAGCTAAATGAACTTTCGCCAACCCGAATTACAAAGGACTCGCTCTAACTGGAGTCAAATAAATAAACATATATTATTTGTTTATACTGTAGGGCAGTTATAACTCTGAGTAAATAAATATAAACCCCATAATATATATATATTTATAAATATTTCAATAGTTAAACATTTTTTAGATATAGTTACAAAATTTTTTATTTCTTATTTTATTTTTAAAAATTTTTTAAACAACATCTAAGATATTATTACAGTTAGATTTACGTTGGGAATATTCGTTCCATATCACGTGATGTCCGCATCTCGCGACGGGCGCTACTTATAAACAAACAGTTATTTCTGAAGAAAGATTGAGGCCAATCTGAAATATCAAATATATATATATATATATATATATATATATATATATATATATATATATATATAAAAATAAATAAATACTTTCATAAAAGAACATTATTATTTTTTAATATGCAACTTTTTCTATATATACATATTAAGAAAGTATACGTGGCTTCTCATGATATTATATATATATATATATATATATATATATATATATATATATATATATATATATATATATAGTTATATATATATATATATACATACACAAAATACTCGTAAAATGAGAACCACGAAGATGTCGAATCAAAGACACGAGTATTATTTATCATCTGGTTGTTATGTGATGTTGGTGAAATGAGAGACAGTAATACTGACTAAAATTGTGAGCTCAAATGTAGATCAAATATGGGTCGGAATCCGCCAGAAGAAGAACAAGATAAAGAATAAACAAAATGTATACAGTCTTTCTCGTATATATATATATATATATATATATATATATATATATATATATATATAGAGAGAGAGAGAGAGAGAGATAGATAGATAGATAGATAGATAGATAGATAGATATGTATAATGAGTGTCCAGAGACATTAGACTGGGCAAAATAGCCTGTCGTTTTGTTAGCCATTTCTAGCTCTTTCGGTCAGACGGCCGAGTTCCCTTGTGAAGGTGTCGAGGAGACTTCATCAAGGCTAGAGATCCAGGCTGTCAACAGAGTGCTGTACAAGTTGGTGGTGGACCCCCCCCCCTCCATGATAGTGGAGCCAATCTTGACAGTTCGGACATACACAGATCTTGTTGCAGACTGGTCGCGTCTATTTATCTTGATATGACGATATTTGATTCAGAAAGATTACATAATACCGCATAGGGCACAAGTGGTATAAAACTGCTTACAGTTACATTCAGCTGACTTCCAAGTATTCCACTGACCTCCAGACTTAAATACCATTGAGCATGTAGGGCAGTGGTTCCCAAACGGCTCAATGCGCCTCATAGGTGAGGCGGAAAAGGATAGCAGGTGAGGCGGAAAAGGATAGCAGGTGAGGCGGTAGAGGATAGCAGGTGAAGCGGAAAATGGATAGCAGGTGAAGCGGAAGAGGATAGCAGGTGAGGCGGAAAAGGATAGCAGGTGAGGCGGAAGAGGATTGTAGGTGAGGCGGAAGAGGATAGCAGGTGAGGCGGAATGATTGAAAGACAATAAAAGATTTAGAAACAGTTTCAAAAAAATCATATACCAAAAATAAATACGATTTCAAAATTTAAAATATGATTATAGATTACTTTTAATTGCATGCATGAATCCCAGCATAAATAGTTATAAATAATTATTGACTGATTTTACCATTGTGATATTTTTGCATTCTATCAAGTGTTAAGAATATAGTAAATAGTGTTTGCAAATTGGAGGAGAGAGTTATCAATAATAATGTTCTGAGTTCGAATACGCGATTATCTGCCTTTAACCCTCTGTATGTTTCTTTATTTTTAAATGTACTTTTTATCACATAAAATTTGGTGGGGCATGAGCAAATATTCATTCCGAAAATGCGGCCCAGACAGAAAAAAATTTGGGAACCACTGCTGTAGGGGGTATGTTTGCCAACCTCATTAAACTCATCTCACTGAGAATCACACCCAACACAGTTGTGAATAGTTTTGGTATGTACCTGGACGAATGTAACGGGCATGTGAGAGAGGGAGACAGATAGTGAGGGAGTAAGATTGCGAAAATCGATGATGAAAAGATAGATAAAGGGGTTTAGAAAATGGGAGTTAGAGAGAGAAAAAGAGACTGTTGAAACCAGAAGCGAAAAGAGAGAATGAGACTAAGAAAACTAAGGGCGGAGAGTGAGAGAGAGACTGATAAACCGAGAGAAAAAGAGAGGGAGTGAGAGAAAGAGACTGAGAAAACTAGAGTCGGAGAGAGAGAGAGACAGAGACAGACAGACAGACAGACAGACAGAGAGAAAACTAGAGTCGTAGAGAGAGAGACAGACAGAGACAGACAGACAGACAGAGAGAGAGAGAGAGAGAAAACTAGAGTCGTAGAGAGAGAGAGAGACAGAGAGACAGACAGACAGACAGACAGAGACTAAGAAAACTAGAGCCGGAGTGAGAGAGAGAGAGAGAGAGAGACAGACAGACAGACAGACACACAGACACACAGACAGACAGACAGACAGACAGAGACTGAGAAAACTAGAGTTGGAGCGAGAGAGAGAAATTGAGAGAAAAAACAGAAAACTAGAGTCGAGGAGAGATCTAGAAACTGAGGAAACTAGAAGTGAAGAGAGAGAGAGAGAGAGAGAGAGTAAGAGAGAAAACCAGTGGCAGAGAGAGAAAGGGAGAGAGAGAGAAAAGAACTTGAGGAAACCAGAGGCGAAGAGAGAGAAAGAAAAAACCAGTGGCAGAGAGAGAGAGAGAGAGAGAGAGAGAGCAAAGGACTAAGAAAACCTGAGTTGGAGTGAAAGAGAGCGAGAGACTAAGTGAGAAAATCAGAGAGAGAGAGAGAGAGAGAAAGGACAAACGTGAAAGAGTGAAAGTGTATGAGTGAGATACTCAAATGATATAATTTAATCCCATAGAAATGTTATCGTTTTTTCCTAGTCATTAATATCTTCACCATGTCATATTTATTACAGAGTTTATCGAATTATTCAAGAGTCTGTTGTTTGTCAGAGAATTTTGAAATTCAAAGAATCACTCTCATTCCTAATATTTGATCGCCAAACAAGAGAATGACTGACATTAACAGTCCGAAGAGAGAGAGAGAGAGAGAGAGAGAAAGTGTGAGAATGAGAGAGAGAGAGAGTGTGAGAGAGAAAGAGAGAGTGTGAGAGAGAGATTCTAGAATTAGTATCATCCTCTCCAAACATTAGGAAAAGACGGAGTTGAATGACAGAATACGAAAAGCATGGAAAAAATATTTTATAAGCATATGTGTGTGATGCATATTTAATTGACCAACACAGAAACATTTCTTTTAAGAAGTTATGAATTATTAGTTTACCAAATGCATATTGGCTGGCCTTGGAGACCATCTATCGTCGGTACAGATATTTAGCAGAACATTTTTAATAAAAAATAAAAACAACTGGAGTGATGTCGGAAGACCATAAATGTAGAAAGAAAACATGGTAACAAAATGCATGTGTTACATGCCTTCTCTCTTTAACGAAGCATGTATAAAAGAGGGATTTTTGCCTATATATATATATATATATATATATAAGCAAGTGTAAATGGATATAAATCCGACAGAATGAAGAAATTTTGAAAAAACAAACAAAAATCCTTAAATGTAGTTAAAATGAAAGAAATGTCGACGTCTGACTTTTAGAAACTACATTTAAGGATTTTTGTTTGTTTTTTCAAAATTTCTTCATATATATATATATATATATATATATATATATATATATATATGTGTGTTTCGTTGAATATGACAGACAAGGAAAATCTAATTATTTTTTTATTTAGTTTTTCCAGCATTCTTACATTTTTCCGTTTGGTCGGAGTAAGGGAGTACAAAAAATTGTCCGTATTGTCCCGAGCGCTTTTGGCCAGTTCTTAAGCCATTTTCAAGGGATTTTGTTTTAGGTCTTGTTAATTTCTTTTCATCTTTGACTTAAGCTTTCTAAACATATATGGGAAATAAAAAACGAAAGCTAAATCACACCCAAAATATCATGGAAAATATGAAAAGAGCATCAGCCTACAACAATAAATCCAAAAAATTAAACGCTGCCTGACGAAGAAAATAGCTGTAATTACCTCCCCAGATCATCCCAGATTACTAAATATACGATCAGAACAAAATGCAGACATGAAAACAAATAAAGTGAAATAAAATAGTCGAAATCAATAAATAAGTAAACAAATTAAATAAAAGTAAAGAATAAACAAATGAAACTATGAATACACACATAAACACAAGTAAACGGAAAAAAACAATCTACAAGAAAAAAAATAAAGTAATAATAATTAATGAGTGAAAATGTTAAAATATAAAATAGCCACAAAACTGCATTCGGATCCACAATTAGTTCCATCCAATAACCCCTTAGAATAATTTGAAACATGGCAGTTACAACCGAATAACCGTTAATATAATACAAAAACATACCCATAATGCACCATTGACCAGCATATATAAATAGTCGAGCCAAAATACATCACACAATGGCCTGAATAAAACAGAAAGGAAACAGACCACAATTATAGAAAAAACTAAGAACGGAAAAGTTTTCGTGTAACGGGTTTCCTCCGTTAGGACTTCATCGGACTAAAATGATGTCTATGTTGATGCGACTAAGGATTTGCACAAAAGAGAGAAGAGGCTGAAAATTTTCAAATCGTTTATATATATATATATATATATATATATATATATATATATATATATATATAGTACCATATACGCCAGCTAGATGTTTTCCATAAAAGCTGTCTGCGTGCAATCTGTGGAGTTAAGCTTCAAGATAGGACATCTTACGTAGACCTGTTTAATAGGTGTAATATTGGAGGAATCGAGACTTTTATCATACAGTCTCAGTTACGGTGGACTGGTCATGTCTTGAGAATGTCTGATGACAGGATACCCAAGATCCTAATGTACAGCCAATTAGATCAGGGCTACAGAAATGTAGGACGCCCATGGCTAAGATACAAAGACAAGCTGAAAAGCAACTTGTCAGCAGTTAATATACCACATAACACCCTTGAGCGCTTAGCTTTGGAGCGGTTAGAATGGAGATCAACGTGTTTTAGTGAACTCAGCAATTTTCAATCTGCTTGTCTGAATCATCTTCAAGAAGCGAGAGCAAGATCTAAAAGGTCAACCAATCTAACAGTGATCTCATCTCACAATTCTCCCACTCCATATGTGGCCTCCTTTGTAAATCACTAGCGGGTCTTAAATGCCACTTAAGATTAGCGCATAAACTTTCATAACTGAATCAATAAGCTGGCAGATCCTCATACGTCGAAACCGACGGGAGAGTCCATTATTATATATATATATATATATATATATATATATATATATATATATATACACACACACACACACACACACACACACACACACACACACACACACGCACACACACACACACACTAGCTCGACAGGGCGACTATTAAGCTATACACATTTTGGAGGGTTATTTTTAACTACCTTAAAAGTTGACATTTAAGCAAGCTTCTGCGGAAGGCTCTTGATTGGGCCATCACAATAGCTAGGGATGAGTAGATGCAATAGGCAACAATGAACTAGAAAAGAACTCAAAACTGATCACTGCATTTAAGTATTGCATTAATATTTAAGCTTACCTTTTAAAAGTTCAACGATAATTCTTCTGCCGCCACTTAATTTAAAGACAATTTGATGCACGAAGGTCCTTACTTTCCGTACAAGCAATTATTTTTATTTTATGAGTGACTTTCGCTGGATTTTGCAATTAATCCAGATTATTTCCAAATTTATTTCAAAGTTATAAAAATTGTTATCGTACAAAAACATTCGTCGCAAAAATTCACGTAAAAAAAAAACCGGAAACATTCACAGTAATTAAAATTTGGGAATCCAAAACCAAAATTTCATGATTCCGGGCCGAACACCGGCCCCGCAATGTTTTGAATTTGCTCGCGGTGTCAGCCTGATTCCAAAACGGTATATGTTGGGCTACGGCCTCTAAGAGTAGAGTTGAAAAAATGTGACACACTGACATCTGCGCATATATATATATATATATATATATATATATATATATATATATATATATATATATAAAATGGTGCTTGTCTCGCCCTTCGTTATTTCGCATGACCGTTATACCCTGCCAATATCTTATAAATAATAGACTGTTACGTTTTGATCGCTTGGAAAGAGACGAAAAGGCACTATTTGGTTTCGGTGTTATATAAATATATAGGATGTGCTGAAAGGTTCTTGGCCAGATGAAGAAGAGATTGAAAATAAAAACAAACAAAAATAATGATCATTTGGTTAAATTTTGGGGAAGTTATTCGGGCTGAGAGCTTTTCAATACCTTCCTCTAATTATGTATGCTCGACATGCAGCTCACACGTTCAGGAAATTTTGACAAATGCGCCAGTCACCCGAATGTAATACGGACTTTTGCTGCTACCCATCCTTTTAGTAAGTAGTAAGCACCTTTGTGTGCCATTGTAGACATGACCCTAAAGAATGACTTCGAAGGAGATGGTGACAATTGGGTGTTCGTATTACAATAATTATTTCTTATGGCCGCATTTCCATATCTTGTAGGCGGTTAATCGTAAAACGCACTTTCCTTTATCTCCGATACATTACACAATTTAAATAAGTGAACCCGCGGAAACGTGATATCTGAAAATTAAGAAACAGACATAATACAACAAACCTAAATGTTTTTGATAATAGCCAACGATAGTCGAAAATGACCGAACACAATGTCTCCTGTTATTTAACCCAAAGCGGGTGGGAGAGAAGAGATAGAATAATACCTTTCCCAAGGGTATTTGTACAAAAGTAAACACGATGACCACACCTGGAATTTGAACTCCGCATAACAATTTCACTTTTCGTGTGCGGAATATTTTTATTAAAAAAAAATATTCTGGACAAAATTGACGGTGGGTATTATACAAGTTTAATAGCAAATTTTACCTTTTTGTCAAGTGTATGAAGATTCTAGGGTAATTCAGGTATTTTTATTATTCTTAATTAGTCTAGAAAGACTCGGGAAAATGTCATGGTTTTCCTGTTTGAATTTTCTGTTGAATCTTAATTCTTTATTTAATGATTGAATAAGCTCATAGGGTGTTCTACGACAATAAAATATCCGTAGACATTCCCCTATCGCAGAGTTAAATATTTGAGCTTAACATCTTTAATAAAATATTGCAATGACAATAATAAATATGGAGGCTGGTCGTTATTTTAAGAAGTAAGGGGATACAAATGAAAAGATTTAAAATTGACAACTTTTTCATTTCACTGAAACATATACTAAACACTTCTATCTTCCATTCATTTATTTTCTCACCGACACCAAATAGTGTCTTTTCCTCTCTTTCCAAGCGATCAAAACGTACCAGTCTATTATTTATGAGATATTGGCGAGACGTAACGTTCGTGCGATATAACCATTATTATATAGATTATTACTACTACTACTACTATCTGTCTGGTGCCACGTAGGGAAATTGTCCCCACACCCAATCTCTAAGGTTTTCTGTCGGAATTTTCCTTCCATTAGACGATCACGTATTCCCATGCTAACGAGTTCCATCTAAGGGGGCTTTAGGAGGTTTCCTTCTCCTAGACTGGTTACTAACTAAGGATGAACAGCTCAGTCTGCTCTACTATTTAACTCATAGCTGGGGGGATGGATTTATACATTTCCCATTTCCGATTAAGAGGCATCACGAGAATGAAAGAGGGACAACTCATATCGAGTTATACTTATTATAAAACCCAGGTTGTTTGTGTGTGTGTGTGTGTTCGCTTATACATGGGATCGAATTTCCTACATTTTTCAACCGATTTCTACAAAACTTCACTTTTTTTTTGGGTAGTGTTTCTTATTGTCTTGCACACTTTTTTTTTTATTTTTTTTTACATTCAGAATGCTTTAAAATTCCATTTACAAGACGATTGTTTATAATAAAATTCTATTCAATCGGTAGACTCATAACGATTGAAAACAATGTTTTTGTTTGAGTTTGGGTTTGACCAATTCGTAAAAAAAACAAAAACAAAAAAAAACTAATTAAGACATGCGTGTCCGTCAACCTTAAACGATAATCTTTGTCAATTTTATTTTTCAGTCTTTATGATGGTCGATACTTGATCTATCTCTTACTGTTACAT